AAAGGCAGCATTAATTGCACGATGGGCACAGAAGCATGGAAAAATGGCTGTTGTTAGTGCTGCATTTGAAAGTGGCTTAGGTTTGTCAACTTATATTCTATTCTCCTATTACCTGGAGCAGCTGAATGCTGTTTATACAGTTATGAACCGTGAAACCAGGCCATCTATAGCCCATGGTCTCGGAACTTATAGATGGCTTAAACAAGATGTCACACCTATACCTCTTGGGATTCATTATGATCCATGTAAAGGCTTTGTCGGAGCGTCTGTTGCTGCTTCCATTCAACTCCTGCAGAACTTTCAAGTCAATAACAATGTTATTCACGAAACTTTTAATGAAGAGCAAGTTCATAGATATCATTTGACAGTGAATTCAAAGAATTTTTCCTGCTCCATCAAAGTTCATGAAGTTGGACAAGAAAGCAGTGTAAGTACAGGAGCACATGGCTCTTATTTTTATTTTTTATTTTACCCTCTTAAATTATGCTTGGGCTGTTTTTGGTGTTCTCTTTACTGAGGTGGCATCTTCAACTTGAGTTATGAGATGCTTCATGTTACGTGTGTGGTTGTCTGCTATTTGAAAATTTCCATACCGTTGTTCTCTCTTTTTATGGTTTCATTCCAATTATCAAGGCATTAATGTAGGCTTGTACATTGCCTTCAATTTATCCATGTATCACTGCCAACTCTGGCATTATTTTTCCTTGCAGGATAATGTTGTTATATTTCTTCATGGATTTCTTGGAACTGGTGAAGATTGGGTCCCCATCATGAAGGCCATCTCAAGATCAGCAAAATGCATTTCAGTTGATCTTCCGGGACATGGGGGATCAAAAATACAAAATCATGTTAGTAAGGGAGCCCAAGAGGAAGCAACTTTGTCAATTGAAATAGTTGCAGATGTATTATATAAGTTGATTCAAGGCATAACTCCTTCTAAGGTTACCCTGGTTGGATATTCTATGGGAGCTAGGATTGCATTGCACATGGCACTAAGACTTAGTCATAAGGTACACTCTTGTTATTGGAGATTTCCTTCCATTTGAGCTGAGGATTTTGTTGTTATATAGTTGACAAATGTAAACATATATTTCACAGATTGATGGAGCTGTTATAATATCTGGTAGCCCTGGCCTGAAGGATACAACGGCAAGAAAAATCCGTCAGGCTAAAGATGATTCGAGGGCAGACTTCCTTGTTGCCTATGGTTTAGAACTCTTTCTTGATTCCTGGTATGCTGGGGAGTTCTGGAAGAGGTGATTTCTTTTTCACTCTTTACAGTATCAACTTTTTATGCCTCCCTCATCCCTAAGGGCTCTATGCTATCATCAATTATAATCTGAATAGAAGATTTGTATTTACAGCCTGAGAAGTCATCCCCATTTTAAGGAAATAGTTGCCGGCCGCTTGGTGCACGAGGATGTCCAAAGTCTTGCAAAAGCCCTGTCAGGCCTCAGCACTGGGAGCCAGCTGTAAGTTAATCCGGACATTTTCCTTTTAATGAATGATTGAGTCTACTTGTGAATTATTTTCTTGCTTTTTATCATTTGATGATAGAATGATGTGTTTCATATAATGTAAACCAACACCATGTAAATCTGGCTTCAGTGCCATGGGAATCAGAGAAGCAGAGCCTTGTTTGGAAGCCAAGCTCCACTGTTGTATGTTAGAAGATAATAATTGAGCTTATGCTTTTTTCCGTAGAAATAAACCAGTGATCTATTAGAAAATCTTATCCTTTTGTCCCTTTGCTATACCATGGTTGAGCAACATCTTGACTTGGATGGGCTCTTAGTTTATTTCATAAGAATATCTGAGAGAAATTCTTTGGGTACTTTATTAGGTTTCATGAAAACAGAAATTCATTCTTGATTTTTCTGTGTGAAAATCAATTGCACAGAAAATTGATTCCTCCCAAAATTCAGTATTTGAAAACATTGCTATATGAGATCCGAGCCTTGATTTGACAACTAAGGTGTGTAGATGAAGTCTTGATTCCTTAAATAAAATAAAATTCGATGTAGGATAACCCTCGATATTGATCTGGACATTTCTCAGAAGAAGAGTCTTCTTTGTGATTTTTCTACATTTAAGTTTGGTCAATTGCAGGAAGGTCCTTCTGTAACCTGTATTATATTCCAGTCTGAAATCTTTAGAGCTCTTTTATATTATGTAGCCCTACTATTATCACAACTTCTATGTGTTTTGGAAGTCAACTTGCGTCCTTGTCTAATGTGTACTGACTATTGTCTGGCATTTTTCATGGATACCGTTCTTTATGCTTAAAGTTGGCCAATTGTTAGAAATGTAAACCTATAGTTAAGGTCTCTGACCTTGCTCAACTTTAGACCATTTTAAAATGATTGTTAAATTGTAGGTCAGGTTATTGTTGTTTGACCTCTGGAACTTGAAGGTATTTGACTCGGGAATAGAAATGTCTCACACTTAAAGGTGATTGAGTACAAGTAACAAAGTGAAATATGAAAACCTTAAACTGTACCAACATAGGTAGAAACACAAACAAGAAGACAACAAGGTATAAAGATATAATTGAAGCCGAATAGGGTTGTCATAGACAACACTAATTCATAATTTTATTACTAAATATTTCTTTTCAAGTAGTTTGCCTTTCTAGAAGGTTTACAACTCCTTTAACAAGCTTAAAAACTTACATAGACTAACAATGAAACCTGAAATTAAAACAAAAGTAATAAAAATCCTAAAAAGGCTGGGAAAAAATATCCTAAACAAAGCCTGAAAAATAATAAAAGAGCTCTAATCCAAATGGAAAAAAAATCATAAATCAATTAGGAAAATATAGTAAATCCTAAACACTAACTTATAGACCTTATTTGAAGGCCTTTACAAACTCCAATGGGTATGATATTTTAACCTCTAAAGGTAATAAGGTCGCTTGAATCGTTCTGCATAATGCCAGCCTGATCAATGTTCGGATTGAAAGGTATGCTCATTAATATATAAAGCTGGATATTAGGGGGGAAAAAAACTCCTGCATCATGTACCTTCTCTAATCCTGTCACTTTAACCGTTCCTTGGTGCTCTGTAATCAGCTTGATCCCTTTTATCTGAAGAATGCCCATTGGAAGATGAGTCAAATGAAAACTTGTTAAAACAACTTGATAGCATGAGTTATTTGTATTTGAAGCACGACGGCCACTCTGGAACATAAATTTCTTAACAGATGAGTTATTGTTAGAACCAGTTGAATTTTGTCTCAAGTTAATTTTATTCATTTGTTTTTCTTCCTTATCCTCAAACAATAGGCCATTGTGGGAAGACTTGAAGCGATGCAATTTGCCCCTTTTACTCATTGTTGGAGAGAAAGATGCGAAGTTCAAGTCAATTGCTCAAAAAATGTTGCATGAAGTTGTCCAAGAGAGGAAAGGTGAAGACTGCAGGGGGGACAATGTTTGTGAGATACTTGAGGTTCCCAACTGTGGTCATGCTGTTCATTTGGAAAACCCTCTTCCTGTTATTAGTGCCATGAGAAAATTTTTGACCAGAGGAAGGAGTTCCTCCAGAGCACAACATTAAAATGCCGTGATGCTCTACCCGGTAACAGCAGATGACTGACCGTGATCCAAATATGGCCATTGGTGCTGAATCCTCTTTATCTAAGAAATCCAAGGTCCAGGTTTTGATGCATGCTCTAAAGATGTTCTGAAAACAACTGAAATGATTGTTGTAATTAGGGTATAGTTGAAGATTTGATCCGATAGAGAACTCTACATTAGAGGTGCGACTCCTATGAGCAAAGAGGAGAGCGGTGGAGTTGGGTTTGGTGTGGCCGCGGAAACATGAATCTTTTTGTCTTCATTTTGAATTGTTTTGTTGCTGAACTACGTTAACAGGGTAAAAAGAAGTCTTCGTGAAAAACCTAATCTTGGAGGCGAGGCTTGGCCAAGTGGCTTGATATTTTCATGTGGTCATGATGCAAATAATCAAAGATTCAATCCCATTAGTTAGAAAATTTGAGTAATGAGCTGTTTGGCTTTTCTATTCTTTTTTTAATTCTGTAACTGGATATGAGTGGGTAGTTCAAAATCGTTAGTTGAGTTTGGATATGGAATGTCTAAGTGGACGTATACGTCCCCGTCGCTATCGGTATGGTCATGAAACATACTAAATAGGAGAGGCAGCGTGAAAGAACTCCAATTTTGAAAGCAAGAAGATGTTGTGATTTTACCACTTCGTTTTCAGTTTCTCAGGCTATGGTCCGCCAACATGCGTTCACACCTCACCATCACGTCCTCCCGTCTGCTGGGAGCCGGAAAGCTTTCCAGACAGAAGATATTGATTGCGATATTCCCTTCTCATTTTACTCATTCTAGTCCCCTTTTTTATTATTTCTTGTACTTTATTTCATTAACTAGTTATTTGATTGGCCGGATAATCTTTTTAATAGATATGCAAGGTTTTCAAATGTATTTTTATTTTAAAAAATCCGAGTAAAAATTAAAAATTCCATGCATACATTTAATTAAATACATTGAAAACTATTTACAACAATAAATATAAAAAATAAAATGTAAATGTGTTTATTCAACTCATTTTGTTGCAGTTAAATAAATTTAATATAAAAAATAAATGTGTAATTATTATTAAGGTGATATTTGATAATAGATATAATTATGAATTAAAAAGTTGATATTTATATATAATAAAATATAATAAAAATGTGTAAGATGTAAAATAATATCGCAAATGCTTCCCTTTCGTCTTAAACAATGTTCGTAATGATTAAAGATACTTATCTAAATCAGCTTCTGCAATTATAGTTCGTCTTAGAATACATATCGGTTGCTTATTGAGACTTGCAGTCACTAATTATAAGTAACATGGCATGATTACGTACAGATAAAATATAAAATGAAAATTAAGGGCTTAAATTGTACGTAATAATTACAATTTTTCTTTTGCTGAAAATGCCAGTGTTTGGTGCAGGAGGACCTCCCCGAAGGATAAAAAGACCCAAATGCCCTTCAGACAAGGTTGTGCTTGAAGAGCAAGTACTGAAGAGTGTCTCGCCTGACAGATAGCATACAGAAGACAATGGATGGCAGCATGAAAGGTATGTTTTCTGTATCTACGAAAAGAACTACACTGATTTAAGCGCAAGTGAGCGTTCACTCTCGGAAAGTTTGCTACTGTTTCTTTCGGAGCCTAGTCGATACCAATCGTTAGATCCAACCCAGTGCCAGCTCATTCTTTATCCATTCAGAAAAATTATCATTATCATTATTATTATTATTATTAATTTTTATTTTTTTCACGGAAGGCATTAATTTCTTTTCTAAAAATCTTTATTCCACTTGGACATTATTAAATCGAAAATCCTAATCCATGAAATAACTTTTTCAGTAGATATTATCATATTGAGATACCTTTGTGATGTGATAAACTAACTATAAAGGAATTTGGCTCGGAGATATGAATGGTTTTTCTTTATAGAATTCACCTACAAAACATATATTTTTTATTTTTACAAAATATAATTTGTACTTTAAAAAAGCTATACCTTTAAAAAAGATCAACCATACTTCCGAATCAAACCCCACTTACGTATCACCCACAGCCATCATTTTCATATCGAGTCGTTGTTTTATCTGGAACGTGGACTGAGCTTTTTTGAGTCTAGCTGGCGCTCTACCGTACATTTATTCCAGAACTTTGGTTTGCAAGTACTTCACTTCTAGAATTTAGCAACTATACTGCACCGTCCAGTGGCAGCCAGTGTCCCATCTCCAATTATCGTGCGGTACCGACTGGATCCGTCCTTGGATCATTTTGGATTTCCACACTTTTTAGGGTTTGGCTACTTATAACAAGAAAGAAGAGAAGAAGCTTTAAGCAATCCATCGAAACCAGAGTCAATTTTTCATAGTCGCTACAGAACAGGGTTCTTTACGGATCATACGGGGCTAGTTGCTGGTAGGATCAACTCACCAAGTGAACCCAGCTTCTAGGCTTGTAATTTCATACTTCCGTCCGAGATTTTCTATCTGCCTACTTTACCTGAAACCCTACTTAATCCCCGTCACTCTGCCCTTATTTAAACCGTTATATAAAGCTGTTCTTAGCGAACCCATTCCTATTTCTCTATTGCATTAGCAGAGGTTTGAGGTTCGTTACTGGTGGAAACATGCTCAAGTGCTTGCTCTTTCTTGTTTCACATTTGCCCGTTCTTTCTTTGAATCCTAAAACACAGCATGATGATCCAGATCATGATCTTGAATCCAGCCCAGACCAATCCACACAAGCGAATGACTCGGATCAAACCAGATGCTACCATGATATCCAACTAAACCCGATCATGATATCCAACACCTCAACTGGCCCTTCAGCTTCTTCGGTAGAAGCAGCAGGAGTTGAGTTAACCACCACCATCAATTCTCCATCATCCTCAACTTCGACTCAAACATCAACACAAGAAAACCTTGCAAATGAGAATCAGCCTCTCCATCGAATAATCGAAACACTTAGACAGCAGGAACTAAGCAGGCATGTATTAATCCTAGCAGTTCCCATGACCATCGGCTTGTTCTCTGTAGACAAAGTGGTTAACGAGACTTCAGCCCTGCGCGTGATGGCGATCGCTCTTGCTTTAGGCTTTGTGGGGATTTGGAATGGTATTTTGCTCCGAACAACTTGCAATGAAGCATCAAACATCATTGAATTGCTGGGGATAGGATTCATGTTGTTAGCATTTTTTGGATTCATTGCTTGTTTTTTACCGGAGAGTCTTACTTGGATCCCCTACCTTTGCTGGGTTCTATCACTTCTTCCATTTGTGATTGCCCTCTGCTCCACGGGGAGGGCCAGCAAAGACAGGGATTCCAACAACTGACAACCTCGTCCACACTCGTGTGATGTATGATTGGATTAGCTGTAAAATACTAAGCTAAATCAGACCTATTGTTGATTACACTTCAGTATAATATATATATTTGAAGTAAACTCTGTATTAGTTCTCTGTTGTTCATGATGCTGCAGGATTAATGTGTATTGCGTGGGGATAAGTCGGATGGCATTGAAAGATTCATTACGGCAATTTGGCATGTTTTATTATTTCTTCATGCAGTAATGTTGGTCAACAAAATTTAGTATATTTCACTGTTAGTATATATATAGTCACAATATATCGCTAATAACTCTGTTTTTAAAATTCTCCCTTTATCTTACACCGTAAATGAACCTTGTTTTCTAGAAAAAAGCAATCACATACACAATTTTTTCAATAACTTTCCTGTATAAAATCTATATGAGAGCAGTACATGAGATGAGAAGTTAATAACTAGGTATATATAAAACTCCAAAATCATTCGCACACATGCATTTTAGTTTTACATGAGAGAGAATACACATGCATCAACGTGAAAATAATAATAAAAAAAATCAGTCATTCATGTTTCTAGAATATTTTGTAAATGTTTTGAGTCAAGAACATGATGAAAATCAAGTTTTTTTAATAAAAAAATATGATTTGACTCTTTTATAATCCTCCCAGCACTAAAACTAGACTATAAGACTACGCGTCACCTGTATTATTACTTTTTAAATAAAAGATAAACAATGTATTATCCATCCTTTAATATTGAGTCATGTTTGTTTTAATGGGTCAAGCATAAATACCTTCACAGACATTTAACTTGTTTTTTTCAACCGCATTTTACACATCAATTCATTAACAAATTAATTTGAAATTTCTTTGTTAGGTAACTTTGAAATTTGAATCCATGAAATTAAAGACCTATCTTAGTTAGCGTATTTTTTGAACAATGTTATTGATTTCATTTTATTTTATTTGTTCATTGTATTTTTTATTTTATTTGATTAAATATTTTTTGATATTTTATTTCATTTTCATGGCATTGTTTTTTATAACAATAGATGATGTTTTTTTTTTCCACAGCCCTCAACAATGGTTTTGGATTACAATTAAAAAAAATCTCATATTAAAAGAAATCTTGATATAAAAATATATTGTTAATGGCTACATTTTAAAAAAAATATTTATTTTATTTGCAGTCAAGTGCAGACCAATTAATTAATAAAAAATTTATTTAATCCAATAAATTCCATGATTTAGATTATAGAGTGATGATGATCTATCCAGAATAGCATTTCATTCTAGAATTTGTTTGCATCTAAGTGAGAAGAAAGTCTGGACAGCATTGATTATTCATCTAAATAAGAGAGATATTTTGCTTTTTCCGCAATTGATTCTTTCAACTCATCTGTAGAAGAGAAGAGGATAACTAGTAGTGAGAACAAATTAAGTCTCAGTTGCTCAATTTCTTCAGAAAATTAAGTCCTGGCGTCCTCTCTCTCTCTCCTGACCACTCTCAAACTGAGAGTGACAAGCGGAGGAGTGGCAAGACGCGGCCATATGGTACTCCTTCTATAATTCTCCAGGCGGTCAAAGTCAATTTCGGAGGCTAGCTTTTAGATGGTCAAAATGCATTGTATACTGTGAAAAAAAAAATTTAATAAACAATTACCGTTTGTAAAAAAAAAAAAAAACAAACACGCAGGTTTTTTCTTGAATGTAAATGCGTATGTAGATGCGTGGGTGGCTGGATGATTTCACGAGCATGGTTAATTTTTTTTTTTTTTAACATGTGATGCAAATGTTTTTAAATAAACAAGAAGAATTTTAAATTCAGATTATTAATTTAATTGAGTTTAATAAACTTAATTAATTTAATAACATAATTAAAAAAATTCAGGTTGTTAACTTAATATTGTTTAAAAAGCACAAAAGACAATCAATTCGGTCTCTTCATACTTCCGTCCGAGATTTTATATCTGCCTAATTGACCTGAAAGTCTACTTAATCCCCATCACTCTGCTTTCATTTAAACCGTTATATCAAGCTGTTCTTGGCGACCCCATTCCTATTTCTCTATTGCATTAGCAGAGGTTTGAGGTTCGTTACTGGTGGAAACATGCTCAAGTGCTTGCTCTTTCTTGTTTCACATTTGCCCGTTCTTTCTTTGAATCCTAAAACACAGCATGATGATCCAGATCATGATCTTGAATCCAGCCCAGACCAATCCACACAAGCGAATGACTCGGATCAATCCAGCTGCTGCCATGATAACCAACAAAACTCGATCATGACATCCAGCACCTCAACTGGCCCTTCAGCTTCTTCGGTAGAAACAGCAGGAGTTGAGTTAACCACTACCATCAATTCTCCATCATCCTCAACTTTGACTCAAACATCAACACAAGAAAACCTCGCAAGTGAGAATCAGCCTGTCCATCGAATAATCGAAACACTTAGACAGCAGGAACTAGGCAGGCATGTATTAATCCTAGCAGTTCCCATGACCATCGGCTTGTTCTCTGTAGACAAAGTGGTTAACGAGACTTCAGCCCTGCGCGTGATGGCGATCGCTCTTGCTTTAGGCTTTGTGGGGATTTGGAATGGTATTTTGCTCCGAACAACTTGCAATGAAGCATCAAACATCATTGAATTGCTGGGGATAGGATTCATGTTGTTAGCATTTTTTGGATTCATTGCTTGTTTTTTACCGGAGAGTCTTACTTGGATCCCCTACCTTTGCTGGGTTCTATCACTTCTTCCATTTGTGATTGCCCTCTGCTCCACGGGGAGGGCCAGCAGAGACAGGGATTCCAACAACTGACAACCTCGTCCACATTCATGTGATGTATGATTGGATTAGCTGAAAATACTAAGCTAAATCAAACCTATTGTTGATTACACTTCAGTATAATATATATATTTGAAGTAAACTCTGTATTAGTTTTCTGTTGTTCATGATGCTGCAGGATTAATGTGTATTGGGTGGGGATAATTCGGATGGCATCGAAAGATTCATTACGGCAATTTGTCATGTTTTTTTTTTATTATTAATGTGGGTGTTCAGTCTAGCTTGCGCACACTACGACTAATCCCACGGCCCACTGAATATCTTGCAAGTCCAATGAGCAGGTAAGGCACCGCGGGGTGACAGGCATACCACACAGAGAGGACCCAGTAGAGATACGAAGGAAACAACCCTCCAGCCCCACTCCTACTAGGACTCGAACCGAAATTCGAAGGAAGGAGAGCTGCCCCAACAACCACGGAGCCACAACCTGATAGGTCTTTGTCATGTTTTATTATTTCTTCATGCAGTAATATTGGTTAACAAAATCTAGTATATTACACTGTAAATAAATTTTATTTTCTAGAAGAAAACAATCATATACACAACTTCTTCAATAACTTTCCTATATAAAATCTATATAAAAGTAATGCATAAGATGAGAAGTTAACAACTAGATATATATGAAACTCCAAAATTATACGTAAATATATGTTTTAGTTTTACATGAGAGAGTACATATGCATTAACATGGAAATAAAAAAAAATAATCAAGCTTTCATGTTTCTAGAATATTTTGTAAATGTTTTGAGTCAAAAACATGATGAAAATCAAGTTTTTTTAATAAAAAAATATGATTTGACTTTTTGATAACCCTCCGGTCACTAAAACTAGATTATAAGACTATGCGTTACTTGTATTATTACTTTTTAAATAAAAGATAAAGAATGTATTATTTATCCTTTAATATTTTATTTATCCTTTAATATTGAATCATATTTATTTTAATGGGTCAAGTATAAATACCCTCGAAGATATCTAACTTGTTTTTTTCAATTGCATTTTACATATTAATTCATTAACAAATTAATTTGAAATTTCTTTGTTAGGTAACTTTGAAATTTGAATCCATGAAATTAAAGACTTATCTTAGTAAGTGCTTTTTTTGAACAATGTTATTGATTTTATTTTATTTTATTTTTTCATTTTATTTTTTATTTTATTTGATTAAATATTTTTTGTTATTTTATTTTATTTTCATGGCATTATTTTTTATAACAATAGATGATGTTTTTTTTTTTTCCACAGCCCTCAACAATGGTTTTGGATTACAATTAAAAAAATCTCATATTAAAAGAAATCTTGATATAAAAATATATTATTAATGGCTACATTTAAAAAAATATATATATTATTTGCAGTCAAGTGCAGATCAATTAATTAATAAAAAATTTATTTAATCTAATAAAATCCATGATTTAGATCATAAAGTGATGATGATCGATCCAAAATAGCATTTCATTCTAGAATTTGTTTGCATCTAAGTGAGAAGAAAGTCTGGACTGCATTGATTATTCATCTAAATAAGAGAGATATTTTGCTTTTTCCGCAATTGATTCTTTCAACTCATCTGTAGAAGAGAAGAGGATAACTAGTAGTGAGAACAAATTAAGGCTCAATTTCTTCAGAAAACTAATATTATTTTAAAGATACTTTGCACGTCCCATGCCCATCTGGAATCATCGCTTCAGTTGTCTAATTTGTAGCTGGATTGAAGCAGGTGACCAGGGAATAACCTCTTTACCACAGATGCACTCGCCGTCAATGCACTTGTAGGGGAACCCCTGACACACCGAGCTGCAGTCAATCATCCGAGGACAGCGAGCTGGTGCCCTTGCATCTGCTCCTGGCATCTTCAACAACGTACCTGCTCATTTTATTATGTATATGCAGTCAGTGCTTGCCATGTAAAAAACAACAAGAAGAATGAAGTAATAATACTCGAGCATGTGAACCAAGTGGCTAACCAGTTGTGATGAGAAAGAAGATGACCGAGAGACTCAATTTCATCGAGGTATTTTCCATTGTCCGTGCAGAGGAATTGCATCATGGTGGAACTAATTTATAGCAGAGTGAACATCCTCCTTTGCGTATTCCTGTAGATAAATTTCCTTGTTTGGCCTGAAACGGTGGCCTCAATTAGGTATACAATGTAAGGTAATGTTAATTTTCCCGTTTCTGGATGAGATATTAAATCTATAAATGGATTGTTGGATATTCATGTAAATTTCGGATTTCATCAGATTTGTTGCCTTGGCTGTGAAATCACATTGATATTCGTAGGACCTGCCTAATATATTAAGGTTTAGCTTTGCTAGATAATACACACACACACTCTAAACTTATATGTTCAGATTGATTGATTCCTTGAAAAATTCTTTGGATGATTCCCACATGAAAAGGATGAAAAATTCTTGACCCTTAATAATATTCCTTAAGCGAGCTTACTCATTTGTCTGGTAGATTGAGATATCATAGTCTATCTTCTCTAGATTTATACGTGATACACTTTTCTTAAAGAGACTGTTTTCTCGATAACAGTATCAGCGATCTCGAGGAATGGTCATTGTCTCTTGAAAAACCTTATTTCAATTATTAATAAATTGATCAACACATTCTAAGCAACCAGGAACCGCGTAAACATTTCCCCAGGGAACAGTTATGGGAACAACTTCACGCAGTCCTTGTCATGTTTACAATCTGCAGCTAAGATGTCTGCATTAATTCTCTCCACCATAGAGTCGCAACGGCAGTTGTTGTTAACACAACGGGCAGTGCCGTGTGCACACTCGATAGCTTTACAGTCTGAGTCACTTTTACACGGCAAAAATACGGATCCATCAGCTCTTGATACCGCTGAAAATGACATGACTGCAAATATATAAACTGTTGCATTAGCCGCAGTCTTAATATATATGTAACAAACTGTATTTGGTCTTGATGATGCCTAAAGAATCTCACTTGATGAAGAAAGCCTTCTCCATTTTTTAATTTTTCCCTTGTTGGAAACCAGATGATTACAAAGACTAACGAGAAAAAATATAGTTTTATGGATAAAGAAATTTGTGGAGCTTATAATAAGCTTTAATACTCGGAATATTTTGGTATATGAGTTGCAAGTCAAGCAGATAGCAAAAGGAAAAATGGCGAGTTCAAAACCACCAAGGAGCACAGGTCCGTACATTTATACAGCATGCAGATTAATCTAATAAAATGTGGCATAGGCATCATATGTATCCTTCAAATACCTAGTTTTCACTACCCCGATAATATTACATCCGTCCTGGAGAAATTATATAATTCACCGAACATTCTAACTCGGACCTAAGTTCCATCATCCCGAACAATCTTGAAGTATCCATGTATATTTTTATTATTATTATAATGAAGATGTTAAAAAACCATCTTAATACAGAGACTTAATATAAATTATTGAGTGAGGCTATAAAAATTATTTGATTTATTAACTCACAGTTATAAAAATGTAAAATAATATATAAGATTTAGAATGATTTGATATTAGAGAGTTTATCGAGTAATTACAAAAATATAAAATAATATAAAAGATCGAGAATAGTCAGCAGCTACGAGACTTCAGTTTTTTTTAATAGAATTTGAATTCAATTATATTATCCATTGTGGTATTAGAGTCTAAAAAAACCCAAGGACTCAGCAAAGATCTTGAAGAATCCCTTGATCATATCTTATAATTATAAGAAATTAAGAATATAAAACACTATAAAAGATTAAAGATCCTTCTCTTGTTTTAAAATAAAGAAAAATTGAAAATTATTCCCTCACTTTTCCCAATGAGTTTTTGTTATAAAATGTACCTTTTCTGACGGAAAAAAAATAGTGTTTAAAACAAATACCTGTCAAGACAAGGCATTTTTGTGACAAAGGTTACGTCTTAAAAACATATTATAGTGACGAAAGCGAGTGGTAGAATGAAGCTTTCATGACAAAAATTCATCGGAAAAGCTTACAATGATATTTCGCCATGAAATATATAAGCGGAGGCTGGCATCGGAGATGGCCTCGCTGTTTCAAAACGAATTGTTGTCTGATAAAGTAGTCAGCTTTCCCGACAATATCTTTAATTTCATCGGGAAACCTTTTATGGCAGCTACCTAGCTTGATTAAAACTTTTCCTGACATATTTTCATCAGAAAAAGTTCTCTGCGAAAAGCAGTGGTTTTCCCGAAGAAAAATCCCATCAACAACCACCGTCAATTGTAGTAGATAAAGAATCATGCATTTGTAATATAAAAGAAAAAGACTAATCGTTCTCAAGAAATAAAGGAAGAAGAAGTTACCAGCTGCGAAAACGAGCACGACTAAGAAGGCCAACTTAATGGAAGACTTGCCCATATCTTCTGGTTTGGTTAATTCTTAGAGAGATATATGTGTTTGATATATGAGTGTGTTCACCTTGTTTAATTTTGATGGGAGTCTGAAACCTTAATAGTTTTCAGGCTTATTATATAGATGAACTCGCCCATAGTTGACTCCAGGTTTTAACGCGAGGTCAACCAAACCCTGCTCAGTTTATGGAAATATAATCGAAGGGTTATCCATTTTGCGTTTCATATTTATTTGAACTTCCAAAAATGGGATTGAAGTAATTCCACCAGAGAGGATTAGAATACCAAGAAAGGTATACAGCATGCATGTACTGCCCTGATCGTAAATCATTCCATTAAAATATTGGCAAATTAAGAGAGATGGAATTAGAAATGAATCCAATCTATTTTGGTTATTGGTCCAAACCTATAAAATGGATATGCATTGAAATATCGCCAAATATATTTTGACAATAATTGGCGAGGGTCGAAATCAATGATGAGACTTAACTCACAACCAAACTCTACCCTCTCATGTTTCCTAAAGGAAATGAAGATGAAGAACCCAAAAGCCCAGATGGATGGGTGAAGAAAATGGGGTGAAAAAACAAGCAGAAATACTGACAATAGCTACAGTCTAGACCGCTTTCCACTTGGGAACTCCACGAATAATTATTTGTTGGAACCAAGAAAATATGAGCATTTAACAAAGAGATTCGAGAGTTTTGAAAGAGATGAAGGGTGATTGAAGGAGGTGGAGATATGTTTGTATTTGCGGCCTTTTTAAAAAAAAAATCATTCTTTTTTGTATTTTTAGATCTGATATAAGAAAATAAATTTTAAAAAATAAAAAAACAATTATTTTATAACAAAGAAATAAAAAACAAGAACACGATCACGCCTTTTGATTGTCGGATTCAAAATAATTTGCTTCCATGTGCTTTTATTTAGGTGATGGACAGCCAATGGTGGGAATAGGACATTTTGGTCATCTCAGACTCGAAAGGCCGTGTCGATAGAGAGTTTGGATGCGTGTCTACATCACCTCGCTGATCTATTGTGGAAATTTAGGTACAATAAAATACAAATTAAGATGTTTATCTTATCCATCCACCGTCAGGATGTGCTTGGAAATCGCGAAATGCCTGCTGATGGTCGTGGCTCGCAGATGGCAATGGATGGATGAGGTAACCCTCATGCTGCGTTGAGCTAGACTCCTTGTCTGTGGTTTTGGGCCCCATTGAGGAAACTAGCCTTGATGTAGCTATGTGGAAACAAGACTCCATGTCTGTTGAGACAAGTGACAAAACTGTACACAATGATATCAAATCGCCACCAGGTAAAGATATTCTTATGACGATTACATTCAAATATTATCAGAAGTCACCACTAGTTACTCCCTATACATTTTGATGGTACAATTTTACATCCAAAAATTGCAAAATATTCGCCAGAACCGAGAGATTTTTACAATGTCAGAATGTGTTAAGAGTAGTTCTCAAGACTGCAGTTCCACGAGGAGCCATCTTACAAGCCTGAGTGACAGATGCTATTTTGCTAATTTTCAGCATATACGTGTATCATGAAGGGAATTCCCAGTTCGAAAAAAATAATTTTAGAATCTAGATCACGGAACAAATGATATCCACACAATGTTTCTTCCCTTAATTTTGTCGTCCTTTTAGTCTGATGGTGAATAAATGGTCAATTAACAGAGTGCAGTAAAAACCAGGAGATTGATGGTAAACAGCGAGTGGAAAAGCAAAAGGTTTTACTGGTCCCAAATAAAAACGCAGAATGATTCTGCAATCTACCAAATTAAACATAGTTGCTAGGAAATGCCAAATCCTCAAAATCAGAAAGAAACTGTCGATCGGTTTACCTTGTATAAGAAGAGTAGGGAAATAACTGTGCAGGCATACAGACACCCACAGAAGAGCAGATCCAATCTCTCCAATTATCAGATCTCACTATTCTGTTTTTATTACATATCAAAATCAACCATGAACACGTAGCATATTCTGTTGTCCACTTTCGCGAAAAAAAGCCTGGTAAATTATGGGATCTTCAAGCACAACGACTCATCATAGAACAAATCACACATTGACATAGAATTGTTGGAGCAAGGAATGAGTATTTAGTCATTAAGGCAGAATGTATTCTTCAAAGTTCATGCTCAACCGATCATGTGAAAAAGACCAGTCAAGATGCAATGAATCACAAAGAAATTGTTATGGCACCATGCTCGTACAGCCTGAAACATATATGCATCCCAGGCTATGAATTTTGGTGCCTGCATTATTGACATCCTTCATTGGCAAGTAAAAGATGAGATTGGAAAAACATTCTCAATAGACCTTCCTCCCTTGAGGTACAATTAGAAAAACTGCTTCTCCACACATTCAAAAAAGACATGATGATGAACATAATAATAAAAAAAACATGACCACAAAAGCACATTAAACACCACGCAAACAAAGCCAATTATAGAAACATACAGTGGCAATCCTAGTAACGAAAGTACAACATTAACAATTGGATCCTAGACCAAATCACGCAGATGTGGAAAAAACAATCTGGACTCTAGAGCAATCATATCCTCAGAACACCAAAGCATTTCTTTGTGGAATGGGAGTTATTAAACAGAACGAATTACCATCAAAATAAAATGGAGTATTTTTTTGATAAATAAAAATAAAACTCCGCTGCTTAACTGATTGCATACAAAACCTTGCAATTAGGCATAAAGGCACATTCAACAGCCTAAGGCAACAAGTTCATTTCACCTAACAGTATACACATCACTACAGTGCAGTAAAGCGATCAGAGAACTTTGAAGACCAGTGTGATATAAAATTCCACATCAGATTCAGCCATGTTAATCTCATCATTTTGCTTTTGCACACCAACCCTTCAAAAATCCAAAAACAATAACAAAAACAACAAAGAACGATAGAAAAAAGAAAATCGAAAGAACATCTGCTTGGTAAAAACTAGATGTACAAAACCCATCTGCTAAATTCTTTAAGACCCAATAAACATAGGCAAAAAATAAAATAAAAACCGGGCCAATCCCCCCAAGAAATAAGAGCACAAGAAAAACACAAAACCATCAGCAAAAACGAAGCAGCGAGCAAAGCGATCAGAGAACTTCGAAGACCATTAACAAAATGTGATTCCACATAAATAAATTCGGATCAAAAGAGCTCATCATTTTTGCTTTGCCTGCTAAAAATATCGTATGTTTTTGGACAAAACAGACTCCAATGCCAGATTTATAAAAGCTCAAATAAAGCTGCACAAAGGGAGAG